TTGTTGACTAAAGGTTCGTACATTAGATACACATGCCCCTAAAGCCAATTAAAAAAAATTGAGACAATTAATTTACAAAAATATGTAAAAAATTAAATTAAATTTATTTTGCAAATACCTCAACTCATAAGCTAACTACTTCCTTTCCTTTATAATTGTTTGTTCAGTTTTATAGCGATCTCATTAAATGTGGCTTGATTTTAGAAAAGAAAAATGATTTTATAAGAAAATGCCATTGTCACTAATTACTAATTAGTAAGAGAGGGTCTTGTTCAGGAGAGATAATAATGGTAGAATCGATAATTATGCAATTAATTAATGCAGTATTGGGAATATAAAATGACATATTATTTATATATAGATTTATTTATTTATTGTTAAGTGATAAATATTGTGGAACCGAGAAAGAATTGATCAGATTGAAATAAAATTTAGACATGTGAATTATTAAGAAAAATAATTAAGTTTTTGACATGCTAGAAGATGAAGTCATTAGCTAAATAAAGGTACTCTCTCCGGTCCATAATATCTGTCGTTTTGGAGAATTTTTTCTGTTTCATATTATCTTTCACTTTAAATTTCCAACACTTCATTAATTACTTAATTTCCTATATATACCTTTATTAACTCTTTTCAATACTCTTTTTTCAACTAATTTATCTCTCTTATTAATTATAAGTCAAGGTCATTTTAGTGTCCTAAAATCAAGACACATTTAATAAAAATTTTAATTTTTGTGCAAAGCTAAAAAACGACAATTAAAACGAAACGAAGGGAGTAATAAAATAGCGTTAAATACTAGGGACAAGTGGCATCTAAAAAGAAGGGTTTGACCTTGGATTAAAATTCCTAAAAAAAAGGACTGAGATTAGTCGGTACGGTTGTTACATCCCTTACCCAATTATATGGAAATCTCTTTCTTCTTTCGTAGATTGCTTCAATTCATCAAACACCCTTTTGTCTTGCATTTAATGTTAGGATTTGGACACCTCATTAGTTTCCATGTTTCCCCAATCGTGCCCATTAAGTTTGTACTAAATTATGGGGCTAATTCATTATTATTTTGTAATATATAGTCAAATCTTTATGTTTATAACAAAGTTTTTATTATTAATAATGCTGCTCAAATGCTGCTGATTGCGCAATCCAAGAGCATTTGAGTCATTTTTGTCAACGGTTGGTAAATGGAGCTTGTCACACATGATAGTCTAATGTGATTTACGTTTTTTCGTATGATTTACAAGCTATTATACGAGAGTGTAGGTTTACTCAATGCACATATATACAGTTGGCTGCAGGTTCCTTCATTACAAAAAAAAAAAAAAAGACATTTTGAGCCTAACAAAGTAGAGAATGCGAGGAGCTACTACCACGTATCCCAGATAGTCGAAAGTATGGTAGTTAATCTCGCGATATATCGCGATATATATCGCGATACGGTACGGTTTCAATTAAAACGATACAACTCGAGCTTCGTATCGATTTTTCATAAATATCGGAAAATATCGTGATATATCGTATCGTATCGCCGTATCGCGATACGATACGATATATACGATATTTATCCACCAAAAAAAAAAAGAAGGAAACTCAATGCTGAAAAAAAAAAACGAATTTGAGCAATCTCTTCAACATCTCAAGATTCCCAAACCTAATTTTCACTCTTCTCTTCAATTTTTTCAACAATCCTCACAATATCTCAACTCTAATATTTAATTTATATTGATTCTTTCGTTTTGTTTGAGATTCAACACCAATTGGAACGGGCTTGCGATCTACAACCCTATTTCTTCAAATTTTCGTTCAATCAGGGCTGGGTTTGTTCGTTTTTTGTCATGGGTTTGTTCAATTTGAGGTGGGCTCGTTGATTTGTGGTGATTGGTTCAAATTTCAGATTAGTTGGGGGGTGTTGTGCTATTTTCAGCATTGGTTGGGGTGTTTCTGCAACTTTCAGCATTGGTTGGGGTGTTTCTGCAACTTTCAGCATTATTTGGGGTTTGCTTGTACAATTTTCAGCATTGTTGGGGTGGTTCTTGCATTTTCCAGCATATTTTGGGTGGTTCTTGTGTGTATATATATATATATATATATATATATATATATATATATATATATATATATATATATATATATATATTTACCAGTTTAATAGTTGGTTAAATATATTACGATACGATACGATAAACGATACGGTACGAGATGTGGAGCAAAATGATACGAGATATATTTACGATCCGATAACCATGGTCGAAGCGACAACTCCACTCGTTGCTGCTCATATATATTCCTGCATTTTTTTTAATAAGTTATCTCTGAAAATAAATTAGGGGTGGTAATTTGAATTTCTAGGGGTATATAACAAAAAGGAGCATTTGTTTTAGCACTTAGCTTCAATATATGAAGATCTTTTTAGCAAGTTTTATTTGAAATAATTTAGTATTTGCATAATATTGTTTTGTTTTAATTAGTGTTAATTCGAGGGGTATATACTAATTTTGTATTTACACATTGACCCCTTATGATAGTAGAGTGTAACACGTGTTTACCTGCTTCAATAACATTTTTGTTTCCAATTGGGGCATTCTATGTGTCCACGTAAGTATTCATGACGACTGCTTCGTTTTTTTCTCCCAATTATTTACTTCATATTTAAACATTATATTAATATTAATAAATATTCAAATGTATGTATGCAATTATGCATATATAAATCAACTTTGCTAAATTATTATGGCCCCACAAGTGAGGGGTCAAATCGTTAAGTCAAGGTACAAATTAAATTAGCATATGTTGCAACATAAGTACAAAATGTGATCATATAATAAAAGATTATGAAGACAAAATAGTTATTATTGCTTCTATTAATATTGAATATTTTTTTTTTACAATCAAGGAATCCTCAATTCACAATATAACTATTTGCATTGAATAAATATTTTACTCTCGTGCAGCAGTAACATACAAATTAAATCGCATAAGAGATCTAAATTACAGTAGACATAACTTATATGTGAAGCTCGATTTAGCTAGAGAATATTGACGATGAAATCGAAATCGAGTCTTTTGACTTCAAACTCCCACCCTTACTCGCAATATTAATTCTTTCTAATAGTAAATGAATTTCTTTTATGTAAGAACTAAAATGCACACAATCTTTTAATTTTGTGCAAAAAATAAAATAAATAAATAAAAAATAAATAAATATAGTCTTACAATAAATCAATTTTATTGTATTAATTAGTTCCCATAATCCATCCTATAACAAAAGATAAATCAATTGCGTGTTGAATCTTATTCATCTTACACAAATAAAAATGATAATTACACCATATATATATATATATATATATATATATATATATATATATATGGTGTGACAACACTCATACTTATGTTGCATTTTCAACAGTAGTACTTATTTGTCAATTTCAATTTCAAAGTCGTTAGATTTCAGGTAATTAATTCATCAACCTCTTAGCTAATAACGAAAATTAATTTGGTCAAACAATTTAATAGTATTATTTTCTCAACCCTACCGATATATACAGTTGTTAATGTCAAAAGTACTTTTTTCCTAATCTAAGCTTTCTTGTCTCACATGATTACTTCTTCTAGTGCAATTCGTTTGACTCTTAATTATATTTTTATGAATCTAATCAAGACTAATTATTAGGCTCGTTTTTGTTTCATTAATGATAATTTATTAAATAATCTTGACATTGTACGTACTGTTAAAATAAACAATTCATATAATTGTGCATATTTAATTTGTTGTTTTTATTGCATGTACAAACGTAGCATGTAAATACCAGTTTCGGAAATTTTCAACTTTTTTCGGAAGTTGAAATTAGTTCCAATTCCGTTCCAAAATAACTGAAAAATCGAAAATTGGGATTTCGAAAAGTATAACGAAATTAAAGCTTGTTCGAAATTTGGAAATTTTCCAATTGTAATCGGCGCAATTCGGATTGTTCCAATCTTTTAATCACATATAATACAAAATGCATAATAATATAATATTGATTTTGTAAGTGTAATTTTGGAAAAGAATTGGAACTTTGAGAAATCAGATTGGAATAGGAATCTAATATGAGAATTTATTTTTCTTCAGAATACCGGAATTCGGAATACAAACTATTTTGTCAAAATCAGAAAATCTCAAATCGAAATTGGCAGAATTCGAAATTTCCGTTCCAATTTCCACCTCTAGTCCTAGTAATGAAACCAAACAAGTCATAAATTGGGATTAGGTCCAATATTAAATTTGTAAGTCAAACCAAACACACATTGCATTAGTTTAATAATTCAAGCTATAACCTCCCATGCATGCATGCATGCACGTTCACTTGGAATAAAAATCAAATAATTAAAATCAATGAAAATATTATAATCCCTGTTAGGGAGTAATGAGACACCCTAATAACAAACATTAGAAAGAGGAAAACTCAACACTTGTCAAATTTTCGTGCTTCCAACTGTTAATTATTATACTATAACCGGTCAGAAAAAAAAAAAACTATTATTTAAGTGACAGGTAATTAAAGCTTAATTAATCGACTAATTCGTTTTCATATTTGAGGAAAATGTAAGATTTGCTTACATAAGATATACTTGTTCGAGTAATTAGTTGTCACCAATCCAGGGTTTGTTGGGGAAGGATTGCCCTAAATTAACTGCCACGTCACCACTGGTTTAGACAGTACTCCATAATTATTTTATTTTTTTAATTTTCTAATTCAACTGCTGTGTGAGGTGTTCAGTAAATCTCAATAAACATTGAATAATCAATTTTATTCAATTTTGCCAGCGTTAATAATAATGAGTTATTAAATTCGGAGGATATATAAATAATATTGAGCATTAACATTTAAATAAGAAGAATGAATGATGTGTTTAGATATGTAAGCGTTGAATTAGTTACGCCAAAGAAGTATATTATATTATTTTTCTTAAAAAAAAAAAAGAAGTATTATATATTAGTGCATGCAGATACGTGTAGGGCTGCATGGAGACAATATACGTATATGATGCATGATAGTTAATTAATTAATTATTTGTCGTCTAATTTAATTAATAAAACAAAGAGTAGGTTTCCAGATGTTTCTAGTAATAGAAACCCACGTAAATAACCATGGTTAGGTTGACTATTTTATAACGAAATCGTTCTACGATAGAATTGAGATTAGATTAATTAAGTACAATTTACAAAGCTTTTAATATCACTAATTAGGTGAAAATAATTATGTTAGAATAAAACAGAATTCCTAAAGATTCTGTATGCGTGTACACAGATTTGTGTATATCAATTTGGGAGATAAGAAATAGAGATTAAATTTTGAGTGGATAATCAGCTGATATTTAGTATAAATCGGACTAAATTAGATTTCATTAATTTTTTGATATATGACACTTTTAAGTCTTAATTCTTAATAAATCACGCTGATCATAATTTGGGTTAGAGGGATTACGGGTTATGCTGGGTTTTTTTCTCTTCTTTTTTTTTTCTTCCAATTATTAGAATCCTAATTATATTGTTATTTAAACTATCCATGTGTTAATCATTCTGTGACATCCGATTTCCTATTAAAACAGGTCATCTGGTCTAAATTTGCACCATAAGAAATATACTACAAATAAAATCTTATTAATCTTGGGGCTCGAAACGACTTTGCAATTTACTTCATGAATATTAATCATACTGCAAAAACATGGGCGTAATTAGGAAAAGATAAATTATGTCCTAAAAGTTTGCAATTGTGTAATGTTTAATGATCACCTCAATCAAAAGTCTAAATTGTTAGTGAAGAAAATTATTTAATATTTATGTTTCCAATACGCTCAATCGAGTGCAGATAAAATATATTGGAAGTGCGGCCAGAATCGAGACATTTTGTAAGGGTGGCGAATTTCATTCAATAATGATACAACGGCTAGTCGGTTAAATTACCACCTCAATCAAAAATTTAAGTTGTTAGTGAGAAAAATCATTTAATATTTATATCTCCAACGAATATCGATCGGTAATAATTTGAAGTATACTAGTAGAAACTGAAGAACCATAAAATATGTAAATATTATTTGTAAACTTTAATTGAAATAACATATGTTGAAAATTCCTATATATAGATTATTAATAAGCAAGTACATCCTAAATTAAATTAAACTATTTGGTGAAGGTTGCAGAATTGTTCTATGAATTAAATTTTGTTTGATTATAATGATAATATTTGATTGGTTAATTAGGTGAGGTACGGTGGTGGTATTTGAGATGCTACACCTGGTCATATATACTGAGTGCATGAGTTTTAGTTGTTGATAGAGTAAAATATATACCGTCTCATTAAGCACACATATACATGGGTGTGTATGATTATATATGTATAGATCAACGGTTAATAATCACCCGGTGTATGTCACGACGTGAGGTAGAATATTACAATATTTTGAATAAGAAATTTCTCTTTTAATTACATAAGGAAAATATATAAATATTTAAAAAAAAAAACTGAATTAAGGTCATAACGTGACACAACCTAATAGAAATCAACTTCCGACATTTTTTTAAATTACATGAAATCATCAAAATAATCAAAACCCTCAGGAATTTCAAACTTGAACAGATCACTACAAAAGCTCTCTCTCTCATATTCTTCTGTGCTGCCGCTCATATTAGGCTCAGGCGTCGATATAACCGAATCGAAGCTAAAATCCATACCGTTGAATGACTGATCAAATCTCGAGTTATTATTATCTGCCTTCATTTGATCAGACGAAACCCCATTGTATAAACTTTGATCATCACTTGTGCTATTTGAGTATGTGGGGCCCACACCCCCTTGTAACGAAGAAGTTGCAAAAGTCCACGGGATTTGTTGGTTGATAATATTATCAAACGTCTGATTAGGTTGGATAACAACCGGTGGGGCCACCGTGTTTTGAATTTGCTGTTCAAGAATATTAGGATAATTTAATAAGTGGTTGTTTTGGTCATTTTGCTCATGTGATGAAAGAAGAGTAAGTGCAACTCTTAGTGCTTCTGGATTTACGAGTGTTTGGAGGCGAATAAGATTCGATAAATTATTGAGATGAGGCGAATTATTCATGAGAAGAGACGAAAGGTCTAATAGGTCGAGACGAGGGGAATGAGTCACCGGGTCGATTCCCATTTTAAGGAGCCTCTTTCTAATGTGTGTGTTCCAATAGTTCTTTATTTCGTTATCCGTTCTTCCTGGCAAACGTGCCGCGATTGCAGACCACCTGATTATTAATTAAAAACAAAAAGATAAAATTATTTAGTATATTTATTTTTAATTTATGAATGATATATGAAAATTAATTAATTAGTAAAATATAATTACTTGTTGCCAAGAACACTATGGAGTTGGATTATGGTTTCCTCTTCCTCAAAAGAAAATCTTCCTCTCTTGATATCTGGCCTTAGATAATTAGTCCAACGAAGCCGACAACTCTTCCCACATCTTTCAAGACCTGTAATAACATATATATATATATATGTATGATTAGATTTAAAAAAAAAAAATCAAATATTTTATTTTTTAATTTTAATTTAGTGAAATAGTAATAATAATAAAAATAATAAATACCAGCAATTTTAGGAAGGGTTCTCCAATTTCCAGGGCCATGCATCTGAATGTGGTGAGTCAGCTTCGCGTCTTCTTCGGGGGTCCATGGACCTTTCTTGAGGGCATTTTTGTCACAGCAAGGCGATCTTCCCATTATCGATCGACGGATATCGATGATTATTATTAATAAACTTATTTATATAGTACTGTGTGTAATAAGTGGAAGATTATATTTGTATGATGAGTAGATTGACATGCAACAATGTTTATTGACATGCAACAGTATTTGGTACCGGCCTTTAATTTGTCTACGTTTATACAATGCGTTTCTCTCTCCTCGCGTGTCGTGTAACATACAATGTGAATTGAAACCAGTTGTTTTGGGGGAAGGCATATATTATTTATTATCTTCTTCTTCTTTTTATTTATTTATTATTGTTATTATTTATGAGAAATTAGCATATGGTATCATGATTATGATCATTTGTTTTTTTTTATACTCACGTGATTTTAGTTTCTTATTTATGAGGGGAGTATGGGGGACAACTACGGATTGGGGTCATAATACAAACTTACATTATTCAAGTTAATTACTATAAAAGCTAGAAATATTGGAGGGATTTTATTTATTATTATTATTTACTAATTTAATATATTATTCCATATGTTCCTAAATAATTGTCTATTTTTACATTTGCACAAATATTAAGAAATTCAATAAATATTGCTTGATTTTTGGTAAACTCACATAAAATGAACTAAAGTAGTCTTTATCATTTAAGAATTTATAAGAGAGAGTTAAAATTGAATTAGTAAAGCTAGAGCAGGATAATATACATTTAATACAGTATTGAAAATATAAAGTGTCAAATAATATGGAAAAACAATATTTTACAAGAGTGACAGTCATTGTGAAACAAAGGAAATAATAATAAAATCAGTTTTACGGAACAAGTAAATTTAGGAGTAATTTCTTTCTTCAACAACCTATAAAACTGATCTTACATGTTAGAAGATGAGGTGATGATTAGCTTTAGGTAATAATTTAAGGTTGGAATAGAAAAGGACAGGTGGCAGCTAAATAGATGGGTTTGACCTTAATTGGCAAAAAATAAGATTGAGATTAGTCGGTACGGTTGTTACATCTCTTACCCAATTATAAGGAAATAATTTCCTCTTCCGTAGATTGCTTCATTGGATCAAAAACCCTAATGTTTTGCTTTTAATCTTAGGATCTGGACAATAGCTCAGAAAATTAGATGTTACATCCGATTATTTATATTATTGAGTGGATTTGATCCTTAGATATATACATAATCACACACATAATACACACATGCATGTGTATGTATGATACTATGATTAGTGGGTAGCTATTTAATTAAATATATGGTTCAAATCCACACAGTATAAATAACCAGGTGTACCATCCAATTTCCCCAATATCTCACACTCCAACATTAGGATTTTGTACTTACAAAGGTGGTGTTTGCAAAAGTTTATTCAAAAGTAAAAGTTAATAATAATGAGTTAAGTGAATATTAAACGCTTATTTCTAAAAGATGAGGTTGTATACAAATAGTTTGGAAATTGAATTTATATAGAAAAACCAGGTTTAAGGATGATTTATATATATAAAAAAAAAACAGCTTTAAACAACTTATTTTAAGAGAAGTACATCAAAAGTTACATTTCTAAATACATAAAAACAGATTCTAAGTAAAAAGAGAAAATTCACAAGCTAAGCTTTTGAAAAATTGTATAAATTTGAGCCAATGTTATTAAATTACATTGGGTAAACTTACATCTCATGTTATAACTTAGAAAACACATGAGGGATATATTAACTACTTTAATTAAACTAATTATGTGTGATGAACTCAATCTAAAAATTATGCTCAACGGGTTCGAATTATATTGAATCAAACAACCCCATCTTTCCTAATCAAAATTTGATTTAGGGCAAATTACGGCCAGCTTTAGGTATTCTAGAATTATGAAAAAATTCTTCATATTTGGATAATTACAACCACTCTTTCAACTGTGTATTGTGTACATTTACACGTACATTGTTATAGTGTCAAATTTATCTATTAAAAAATGGTTTTTCTATTATAAGACAATACATACTTAAAAAAGGGTGAATGTAATTATTTAAAGAACATAGGTTTTTTCATAATTTAAGCTTATATCTAAGTGGTGACCGCATGCAATTTGCCGTGTTACTTATGTATTATTTATGTGAGTGTTGCTAATTTATAAATTGTGTTCTCCACGTTTGACTATAGAGTGTGACACGTGTTTACCTGCTGCAATGAAGTTATTCCCAATCGGGGTATTTTCCATGTCCACTGCACGTTTGCTTCTTTAATTCCTTGTTTCATTTTCAACGGCCATCTTAATTCAGTCATGAATCCCCAATTTATTTTCTTTATTAATTTGAAAATATAAATCTTACAAGTAACATTATATACATTGTATAATATACAATTGATTTAACTAAAATTCACTTTGTTCAAAGGTGGGTCCCAAAAATTGTAGTTTGACTAGAATAAAAAGAAAATCAAATTACTAGAGCTCAATTTGTGCTATCATCTTTGATTAAATTTGTTGAATTCAATTTCAAGCTTATAAGTTGCTAAAAAGAGCTTGTGAGATGTTAGGAGTTTAAAAGTTCTTTTAAAGTGTTTGGATTTTTTTCTAATTACAAATTTTAAAAATAAGCTGGCTGAGAGAGCAAATAATATATTTAAAAAAAAAATACCTCTACACCACCTTTTTAATTTAAGATCTTAAAATGAGTAAAAATAGCTTATGAGATCATTTTCAAACACCACTGGTAGAAAATTTGCTTTTTACTACGAAATTGTTTGCTCGGTCAAAAGCCGTAACTAAAGGGATTTTTTCCACTACGGGACAATTTTGAAGTCGTAGTAAATATTATGATTTACCGTAGCAAAAAAGTATTTGGTACGGCCATTTACCGTATCAAAGATTTTTTTCACGCCCGTATATACTACGGGGCAAATTCGTAACAAATGCGTAGCAAAATCCTTTTAACTACGAATTTGATACATTTAGTACGATTAATGGTCGTAGTAAAAAGTCATTTTTCTACTAGTGGTGCACTTTAAAATTTAATTCTAAAAATAAGACGTAATACCTTATTTGTTCTTAAAACAACTTATCAATTATCATATCGGTTGTTTAAAATAAACTTAGCCAAACAGGCAGCTAAATTAAGCTCTAATACAATTTTTAAAACTTATAAGGAAATTAAAATTAGGTCAAATAATATAATTAATTGTGCATTTGCCCAAACTACCTTTGACTGCTCAAAAAGTTGTGTTCTTGTAATTACACCATATAGGAAAATTGATAGAAAACACTCATATACCTATGTTGCATTATTTCAATAGTAGCGCTTATTTGTCAATTTCAATTTCAAAGTCGTTAGATTTCTGGTAATTAATTCATCAACCTCTTAGCTAATACAGTTGCTCAAGTAATTAATTAATGAAGGTCAAAAGTACTTTTCCTCATCGTAAGCTTTCTTACCTCTTCTCCCGGAAGATTTCTCACAATGAAGTACAATTAGCTTATTTACTGCTTTTTTTGCCCTATTATTTAATTTGTTTGTTGGACTAGTTAATTATACGTGTTAAGAAAATTAGTCATCAGTGTGAATGGAATCTAGAAAAACCCTTATAAAGTGGTTAAAATACCTCCTCTTACTAATTAATTATTTCACCACGCACTAATTTTTCTCTCAATAAATTAATCAAGTTTGTAAAAAGCAGTAATTGGGTCGGAAGCGATCAGGGATCGACTCACGATTAATTGGTGCGGCGGTGATTAATCGGTGATAAATCGGAATTAAATCAGTTTTTAAATTTTAATATAATATATTTCTAGATATTATTTATAAATACTCAAAAGATATATAAAAAAATATTTAAACATAATTATATCTCCATCATGTATATATCTTAATAAAATAATAAAAGTTTAATAGTAATAAGATCATAATACATAAATATCCTTATACAATATAAATAAAAGAAAAATATTTTTTTTAATTTACATTTATTCTTGAACATACCTAACATACATCATTACTTCTTTAACAATAACAGTTAACATAAACAAAATAAAATATAAGCTCATATTTTATTTACTAAAATCACAATTTTTATTTTGAGTTACTATTAAAAAAAAAAAAAAAAACAATTTTTGCGACCGAAGTTTGACCCGCCATAAAGGTTTGACCGCCTCAGACCGCCTCGGACCGCCTCAGACCGCCTCACAGGCAAAAAACCGATTTTTCAAACCTTTACACTAAAATCGTAAATGTTTTTGACCGCCTGCGCCTCGGAGATCGATTAATCGGCCGCCTCGGCCGATTTTTAGAACACTGAAATTAATAGAAGGGGCAAAATTTAGAAAAATATACTAAATGCTCCGTTAAACATCAAATTGAAAATTCAAATATTTGCGTTTCTATTACACGTGTCGACTCGTCTCGGGAAGGTTAATTAACAAATTGTTCAATGTGAACAAACATTTCAGCTTCCAAAATGCGAAACATGCAAGCCGAGGTTCACTAATTATTATTTTAGCGAACGTAATCATCAATTAGTCGCTTAATTGACAATTTTCGTCACTCGTATTTGAAAAATTCCAGGATTTGCTTACATACATATAAGATACTTCTTCGAGTAATTAGTTGTCACCAAAATCAATTAATATTTTTTTTAATTAGGGTTTGCCCCAAATTAGCTACCACGTCATTTAGTTTAGACGACACTCCCTAATTATTTGTTTAATGTTATGATTCAACTAATGTAGTATGAGGTGTTCAGTAACCCTCAACAAACTTTGAATAATATATATATACATGGTGCTGCTTCCTTTATTCTTTATTCAATTTTGCCAGCTTGTTAATTAACTAAGTATTAAATTTTGAGAAACTCGGATAAAATAATATGATCGATGCATTATTAGATTTGTAAGCGTTGAATTAGTTACGTCAAAGGAGTATTATATTATTGCATGGCTGCATGCGATGCAGATACGTGTATGGTTGCATGGAAACAACGTACGTATATTATATGGTGCATGATGTTTCTAGAATTTATTACACGTTTAATATTTTAACGAAATCATTCTACGAGGGGAAATGTAGTATAAATTGATTTTAATATCATTAGTTAGGTGACAATAATTAAATTAGACAGCATTTTATATTGCAAACGGATTGAATTCCTAAAGATTCTGTACGTGTACACACAAAGCCGGTTCTGGTTATATGCCAGAGAGGCGGTCGCCTCGAAACCTCATTTTTTTAGAAACATTAGGGGCCCCAAATAATGTTATGTACTCTTTATGTACAATAGTCATAGTATTAAATGATATTTAAACTAATTCAACTAATTTCGAATAACCATAACTATATGATTTTACATAGTTAGGCATTTGCTTAAATTTTTTACATTTAATTCTTGCATTTGATGTAAATGAAATGTCTTAGACTATAATTAGTTAGATATTGAATTTTTCTATCAAAGTTTTATCAATTTCCAGATTTTAATCTTTTTTCCAGCAATGTTGCCTTTTCTAATAATCTATATTGTACATTTCTAACTTCCAAAAATTTCGACAAGTTGAAATATACTACATTTTATTTTATTATATTTTAACAAATGTTACATATATTTATTTGTTCAATAATATTTCTATGACCATTTTCAAAATAAAATGAGGCTCTGATCCAAATTCTGTAAACTTTTGATGTACCTTAACTTTCTCAATATTTTAAACGCCTACGGCCCCCAATTTCTCAAGAACGGCTCTGGTACACACGGATTTTGTGTTTATCAATTTACAAAATAAGAAATTAATCAAAGGTTATTCGTCCGTGTATAATTTTATATATTATTATTCTTTTTTTTTTTTGGATAAAAAAAAAACAATAAGACACATTATAATATTGACCTCATATCAATTTAAGAATAGTGCTCCAATGACTGAGAATGACTTTTAGTTTATCTTCAATTTAACTGTACTCACTACAAGAAAAACTAGTTTCAGTGACCAAATTCTCAACGACCATAACTAAATGGTCACTGAATATTCACATTTAGTAACCAAAAGTAATTTGGTAGCAAAAGTCGGAAGGGTCAAATCCTTTTGCGACCGGCGAACATTTGGTAGCTATAAGTGGTCGCTAATAGTTATACATCTTGTAGCAACTAAAGTTAAAGTTTGTAGCGACAATTTTTATGGTCACTATAACTTAGTGTCAATAGTGACCAATTTAACAGCAAATTTTTTTAGCAACTAAAGTTAAAGTTTGTAGCGACAATTTTTATGGTCACTATAACTTAGTGTCAATAGTGACCAATTTAACAGCAAATTTTTTTAGCAACTAAAGTTAAAGTTTGTAGCGACAATTTTTATGGTCACTATAACTTAGTGTCAATAGTAACCAATTTAACATCAAATTATTTTACAGTTGCTACAAGTCTTTAATTTAATTATTAACAACCATTTAATTGAGTTGCTAGTAACCACTTTAATTTGGTTGGTATGAAACTACTTATGAAAATCTAATCGATTTGGTTAGTAGTTTAATTTTTAAACAAATCAAGGAAAGAAAAGAAAAGAAAGAAGGAAAGATGGAGGGGAAATATGCAAATAATGGAAAAGCACAGCCAATTCTCATTCTTTCGTTACACGCATTTATTTCATCCCAAATTATTACTCTGTTCAATCTCTCGCTTACGCTCTCTCTCTCTCTACCAATTCTCGCCTAATATTACTGATAATTAAGAAAGAGTTATCTCTTAATTTCTTCATTCTACTGTACGAAAATCCCTCTTGTCTTACCTCTTTTGTTTTTCCCAAACGTATTCGCCTATTTCACCCAATTTCTCCATGCCCTTCTTCCTACCCCTATCAGAAAATTTTTGAATTCAATAAAGGGGATTCGGAAGATATGAATATAGGAAAAGAATTGGGGGTTTGAAAAGATAATTTCAGATTTAGGTTGAAAAATAATAGTTTGGAGACCTTCGAGAATAAATCTCATCGATCAGCACCCATCATGGTTCGCCGGAACGTCGTGGTCCGCTGTCGCGGATAACGACGTTCAAGTTCTATTGTAATGTCGCATCTACATCGCGGTCGCGTCACGGTCGGAACCGTCAAATTATAATAAAAATGCAAAAAAATATAATTAATGTCAAATAAGTTTTAATATTAATATTATAGTAGAATACTATACAAATTGTCATTAAAACTCTAATCTTAATTTTAGAACAATTCTTTATACCTTGAGAAGTAAAAATAGGGGGTGAAATTGTAATCTATGAAATTATTTGTTTACTTTAAGAGAAATAAAAAGGCATAAGGACTAGATTGCAAATTTTGGAAACTTAAAAAACTTTTGACTCAGTCCATCAGACCACGACTAGGCCTCTCTGTCTTCCTTTTTCCGTTTTTCTTTTTTTCTTTTTTTTTTTTTTATCAGATTTTTCTCTCATCTTTTTTCTACCATTCCGCCGTTCCAACCTGTTCCAGCCGCAACACGGCCGTTTGGTGGTTCCGTCTCGCCCGTGTTGTTCCGGCGCGTCACGGTGTAAAAATCGGATTGGTTAGGGATTCCGGAATGAGGGCACCGTTCCCGTTCCGACCGTTCCGACGAACCCTGGGACCCACTGTTGGAATAATTGTGAGTTCAGATGTACACCGGTGTTGGTGATTTCCGGCGGAGGTCGCCGATATTGGCCGTAATCTGGAGTTCAAGTTTTGGCTCTTCAAAGAATTAAATGAATGGAGGTCTTAACGGTGGATTATTGATGATAGAAGGTACTGTTACAAACCTCGAGAAGTTAGCTTCCCACTGATGGTGGTGCTCGGCGGTTTTATTCGGCGGTGTTCGCCGAAATTTGGTGTGGAATTCACCCTGCTCGCCGGAACCCTAAGGGAAATAAAATCTGCTACCGCACCTGTTTCGGAGCCAAAATCGAAGGGTTTGGAGTGTGAATTTGGGAATAATTCCTTCTCAAAACTCGTAGAGGACCTCGAAAACTATGAGTAAGTGTTTAATTTTTTCCAATTCGAGCACGTGTTATAGCCTTTTAGGGGTCGGAATCAGACGACAGTGAATCTGTCAAAAAACAGGGCAGTTTTGCCTAATCATCTTACGGAGCTGTTTTTATTATGTTGGATTAATAATTTAGGTTATGTGTCTTCTGAAGTTTTGTATATTGAGTTGTCAGGTTTGATTTGGTATATTATTTGGTCAATTTGGATAACTCTACAAATTGTTATGATTTTTCAAAGAAGATGTGACAGCAAACAAGTTTGTCCAAAAGAATTCTGGCAGTTTTGTGTATTCATCTCTTCGGGCTGTTATTGCTGTGTTATCTTCGTAATTTGGGGTTGGTATCTTCATCAAAATTGTAGATAAAGTTGTGACCTTTTATTTGGTATATTATTTTCCCAATTTGGATAAGCGTACGGCCTACTACAATTTTTGGAAGAAAATGTGACAACAAATAACGCTGGCTTCTAGTTTAATGTCCATAGTTAGCATCAATCTGTGTCATTAGTTATTTGAAATTTGTCTTATGCACATTGAGCAACAAGTTTAAAGTAATGTGATTGAAAGTGAAGCTTAAGAAACTAATGGATTCTTACTTCAGGTGTGTCATTCGTTGTTGTGTGCCTAAGAAATTTTTGGTCTATGGTGTTGCTTTTGGTGCTAACTCGAGGTGAGAAGACTTTGTTAGTTATTTCTTCAAGTTATTTACCTTATTTATGTGACGCGTTTTATTTTGATCAAGTAATACGCAAAAAAACATTACAGGTGGGAACTGAACGAGAAAATTGATTTCAATTGAAAGAAACTTCTACACAAAAAGGTCGGTCCAATGTATTTAATTTTGTTCTTTGGTACCATATATTTAGGTTCAAGAGTGTTATTTATTTATTTTTATTTTTTTCTATGTAATATGTTTATTGTTGTTTAATAGGAGAAAATATTATTTGCTATGTGCGGGAATTATACATAACATCATATGAGGGTATGTTAAGTAAATTTCTTGGTTGGACGATATTGAGTCAGTATTTGGTAATGTGTTGATCTCATCGTTACAATTTTTTCTAAATATATTCAGTTCAATTTTTGTTCTCTCTTTTGTTACTGCAAGAAGCTGGCTTTTTGTTTGACATGTATAAATTTAAACAAATCAATACTCTTATTTTATTTCAGATGGAGCTGATACAGAAAATAATATTAGATTATCGGGTGTTGCTCACGTTTATACGAGATTTATTTGAAATTTGTCTTATGCACATTGAGCAACAAGTTTACAGTATTTTGATCAAAATTAGACTAACATTATATGAGGGTATGCTAAGTAAATTTATTGGTTGGACGATATTGAGTTAGTATTTGGTAATGTATTGATCTCATCGTTACGATTTGTTGTGGATCCAGGTGTGGATCCAGGTATACCGAATGTACGTTATATAAAAATGAACCATAAAGTTTGTCAAAAATTTTTCTCTACTTCTACTTATTGTGGATAAATTCTTTATATCAGGTAACTAGGTTGGTGGTCAATTGATGAAGGGAGTCGGGAGGAGCAAGTTCAGTTATATTGTTCATTGGGATCTAGGTGAGTTTTCTGAAATCAAAGTTCTGATCCATTTCATGCAATATTTCATATTAATTGTTTTTTTAAGATTCTTCAATTATTATATGAAGTAGAACAAATGAATTACAATTTCCGTCTTAACTAATAATTCTAAGGCAATGCATCACATTAAACACATGGACTGGACGAGGTAAGTAGCTACTTATGCAAGAGCCCAGATACATTATTGAATTAACAAATGATTGAAATTGATTCTATCATATGATTTCTTATTTTCTATTTGAATTTTTTTCCCTTTTTTAGGTTGGACTGTTTGATGAAGTGAAAGAACGTTATCGTGGAAGTCATATTTGTTGTCGCTTAACAATTTATGAAGTGGAATTTATTATGAAATAATTATAGGAATATTTCTTATTGTTTGGAATGATTGATTTATTATTGTATTGAGTATGATAGATTGAAATTATAATATTCACATTTGATTGATAATATATAAATTTGCAATCTTTAGTTTTATTTTAAATTTTTTTTACAGCCACTACTGCAAATAAACATTAATGATTAATGCAACCAATTAACTATTGGTCTGAATTGATCAGTAAATTTAATAATTGTCGAAACCATGTAAAAACTATTGCAACCAATAATATGGTCACTATATGTATATATTTTAGCAACCGACAGATATATTATTTATCAACCAACATATACCGTCACTATATGTATATTAGTAGCAACCAAAAAATGTGGTGGCCAAATATATATCCTATAGCAACAATAAAATATGGTCACTATACGTACATATCATTAAGCGACCAAAATTATATGGCCACTATATATGTTGCTATAGCAACCATGTTAATACTATTGCCACCATAAAATTTACATTAGCGAGTCAAAAACTGGTCGTTAATAAGTATATTTTTAGTGACCATTATTAGTTCGCCGCTAAATCTCATCTTTTAGCGTCCAATTAATTTTCTTGTCACTGAGTACTTTTAGTAGCTACCCTGTTGTGACCACCGGTGACCAAGCTTAATTTGGTCGCTAGAAGTTTTAGCTACCATTTTCTAACTTTTAGCGACCTTACAAAGTCGTCACTGAAACCAAAATTTCTTGTAGTGACTTATGTTTAAAAAATTACTTTGTCGGTAAATAATGCCTGCAAACAACATTCCAGAAAATAAAAGGTTTGATTAAGAAAGGGAAGAAATAAAATGGGAATGAACAAAGAAAAAAAGTAAATAATCTTATGTTTGTACATTTTTACTATTTAATTAATTTATCTTTTTTACTACTTTGAAAATTAGTATATACTTTATTGTGTTATATCATATATATTTAATTTGTTCTACCACATGATTATGTACTTATTTATATAATTTTATTTCCAATTTGAAATTGCAATATCTTATTTTGTTATAGAATATGGTAGTATAAAATTTAAAATACAACTTTTTGAGACTACAGCCAACAACATTATTATACATAATTAACTTATATATAGCATTTGTAAAACCATATAGTACTATATAACAAAGTGCTTTTACATGTATATGTTTCAGGTTCGGGTTTTCGGTTTCGGTTTCGTATAGTGCAGTTTCAATCACTAGCTAGTTCATTTTGGGAAGAAACTAATACTTCCGAAAAATTCTTACACGAAATCATCGAAATCGAAACTCTCGGAAAATTCAAACTTAAACAGGTCGTTGCAAAAGCTCTCTCTCTCATCTTCGGCTGTGGTGATGCCACTGATATTACAAGGCTGAGGCGTCGATATAACTGAATCAAAGCTTGAGTTATTTTCCGACGACAAACTTTGCTTCGTTTGATCACTTGTTGTACTGTTCATACCTGTATAATTATCATGAAATAATACTTGGCCAGCAGTTGGGTTTGTGGGGCACACGTGCCCTTGTAAGGATTGATAATGATTGTGCAATGAAGAAGAGGTGAGATTGTTTAATGGGATTTGTTGAGTGATAATATTATCAAAGTGATTAGGTTGGATAACTGGTGGGGCCTGATTCTGAAACTGATGCTGATAATTTAATAATTGGTTTTCATTTTGTGATGAAAGAAGAGTAAGTGCAACTCTTAGTGCATCTGGATTTAGGAGTGTTTGGAGGCGAATAAGATTCGATAAATTATTGAGATGAGGCGAATTATTCATGAGAATAGACGAAAGGTCTAATAGGTCGAGACGAGGGGCATGAGTCACCGGGTCGATTCCCATTTTCAGGAGCCTCTTTCTTATGTGTGTGTTCCAATAGTTCTTTATTTCGTTGTCCGTCCTTCCTGGCAAACGTGCCGCTATTGCAGACCACCTAATAATTCAAAAAGAAAAAAGAAAAAAAAATTAAATTGAATGATATCAAAATTAATTAATACAATTATATAATGAACTTATATATTACTTGTTGCCAAGAACACTATGGAGTTGGATTATGGTTTCCTCTTCTTCAAAAGAAAATCTTCCTCTCTTGATATCTGGCCTCAAATAATTAGTCCAACGGAGCCGACAACTCTTGCCGCATCTTTCAAGACCTGTAATAACATATATATATATATATATATATATATATATATATATATATATATATATATATATGATTAGATTAAATTTTTAAACAAATTAATTTTTTTTGTGAGATAACTAATAATAATAATAATAACCAGCAATTTTAGGAAGGGATCTCCAGTTTCCAGGGCCATGCATCTGAATGTGGTGAGTGAGTTTGGCATCTTCTTCCGGGGTCCATGGACCTTTCTTGAGGGCATTTTTGTCACAACAAGGCGATCTTCCCATCATCGATATCGATCGATGATTAATTAGTAATAATATTAAGGCAATTATGTTTTGCAATAATTTTTCAAAGGCAAAGAGAACTTGTAATTGCACGAAAAGATGAAAGGCTGTAGGTGTAAATGGTAAATAGGTCACACCCTA